GTTATATATTAATTAATGTATAAGTACATACTTAAAAATTAGTGTACTAGAAAAGGGTCTACTTTAGGGGAACCACCAGTATCAGATATAATTTTAGGAAATTACCTACCTACCTATATCTATATACTGCAAGCTATGGATTTATCGATTCAATATTAGGCAATGATTATAAACATTCTTTATAGTTTAAACTTCAATGAAAATTATAAACCTATTTTACCCAAGAATATTAAGTATAATAGGTATATATTAGGTAAACATAAACATTTTGTTTTCTGAAGATTTAACATTTTATCGGTACTTGTAGGATTTCAAAGTTATTGAAGATGGAATATAAAGTTATTGTTATATGTAATTGCTGATTTGTTTCATATCTCGAACACACACTTAAATCATTTTAGTCTGCTGATCCTTTAATACAAAATTCCGGCTATTCTTGATATTTATTGATAAAATATACATAAACTTCAGTTGTTTATGGACCGATAATTACACTTTCAAAGCAATAAAGAACCTTTTAAGCTTTGTTTATATTATTTTGTCTATACTAATTGGAGTAGTGCAAGCATTTTTATATAAAAATATAGTTGATTTATGAATATTTCAAGGTGACAATCTAAGAGCACTTTAAAAATGCTGATTTTCTCGTATACATTTTATTAGGTACCCATTATTTATCTTTAGATTTAGTAACAGCCTAAAAATTTTAGAAATCGTAAGATATAAGACGTCAATCGTGAGATCGTGAGATTTGTCTTCAATTCGTGAGATCTAACGATAAATCGTGAGCAGTGGCATCACTGCGTTAAATCAAATACTACTGTCACGGACCTACACAGACTGTAACGGACCGTGGGAAGAGCTCTGTCTGCGGTGCGTTGCCGTCCGTGGTTATCGGCTGTCCGCGAAGATCTGTAGAATCGCCGACCGTGGGAAGCCACTGTTATAAGGATATTTCCGTACATTGAAGTTCGTGTTTCCTCAAATGATAAAACACAGGCAGGCCCGTTACTCCCCCCCCCAGGGCGGAAAGGTGAGTGCAGGTAGAGGAACTCGACCTAGCACGTAGACAGGTAGCCGCCGAGGAGCTCTCCTTTACCACTCTTAAATCTCCAAGGTGGGTACGTGTCAAGACACCGGCGCCCCTAATGGTGGTGCGCCCAAAAGAGGTGCTTACGTACTCAGCTCGTTCAACCTCACCTGGTTCTGTGGATATCTCGTGGAGTCTCGTCTCGGATACTGGGAGTGTAGACCGGTGACCTTGTCGTCGAAGCGCCTCGAGTGCGTTTCTACATACCCGACACCTCAAGCGACGGCTCTCCACCTCTCGAATCCTTCTTATTAGGTGCTATTAGTCACCTCTTACGACAGGCAGGGATATATTGGCCTTGACCGTATTCTTATCTCCGCGAGCCGAACTGAGATACGTCTTCAGACAGTCGGGAAGATACAAATTCAAACATGGAAAACCACCGAATGTGTCCTGCTATTTTTACTATTCTATTGTAATGCTTCAAAAAGCGACGCCTATTTTGGTCGCTTTTGAAAATAATTACTTTGATATGTTTTGATTAATTTTGTAGATATCGATAAGCTCTACTTTGTTTTTTACTATCTTCTACTTTGTGGCAAGCTTTATCAAAATTAAAATTTTTTTTTATTAAATGTGTTATAGTAAAAATATAGCATATTAATAAACTCGTTATGATCTAAAAGTTTTTAGAACTAAATAAAATGACCTACTGATTATTTAATTTTATTTAATAGCGTGTCTTTCTGTATTGTTAAACGATTGGAACACAAATTTCTTTTAGCGCACAATTCAAATATGATTTTTTAATGGTTATTTCTAAAACCCAAACCTAAATTTAAATTTGGGTAGATAAAGACAAACATTATCCGCCAAACGCTCTATAAGAGATAATTCGTTTCTATATTTTTGCACAAATTTTAAAATTGTTTCACCTATCTATTATTAGTATATATTACTGTTGTTTATCTGCTAATAATTATGTTGATAATTATTGACGTTGTTTTATTTCCTTAATTAGGATTCACATTTTTTATCGATAGTAACACACAAAAAAAAAACGAGAAGCATATAGCCAATAAAAAAAAACTGTGTCTGGTATCCAGAAAATCCTTAGAAATAAAAACTTAAAACTTGCAGTAAAGTTAAATATCTACAAGACCCTAATAAGACCGGTCTTGATATATGGGGCTGAAACATGGACTTTATCCCAAAACGACGAGAGTATCTTTGCAAGAAAAATATTACAGAACATTTTTGTAACCGTAAATGGAAATGATCTATGGCGTCGAAGATATAATATTCAATTGTACCAGCTATATCCAGATCTGGATGTTGTAAAATTTATTAAAAAGCTGAGATTAAAATGTACTGACACATTGCTAGGATGTCAGATAATGAGTACACGAAGATCTTAAGATTCTTAAGACGTAGAACTTCTCTTCTTAACTCTTCTTATCTCAGAAGGCATAAGGAGTAGAAGATGACGGCGTAGTAGATGGATTGATGATTTAGAAGAAGACCTTACGATTCTAAGGATTAGAAGATGGATACGTTGCTAGGAATCGACGAGAAGTCGATTTAGACGCTGCTAATAAAACGACATAAGGGCTACGATAAGGGTCTTAATAGATAAGAGCTTGTTCAGATGAGGAAATTTGCGCGCGATTTTAGTAGCGCGTTTCGAAATGCGCATTTTGTTTCTTTGACCCATTGGTCCATAAGAGTCGTTTTCCATGCAAGTTTTTGATCAGTATTCAGAATGGTACATCTCATTTTACATGAATGAATGTCTCATGGTAAGTTTGTGACTTTATATCCAAATTTAAGGAATCATGAAAATACTTTTTTAACTAGTTTCGCATATAAAATATATATAAAAGAGGACTTATTTCCATGTGAAAACTATGTAGTAAGAGATACTGTTTCTGCAGAAAAAAACTCGTCATTACTTTGAGGTAAGAAAATATTTATTTTTATTACAGTGAAACCATAACGTATTTCTAAATATTTAAGTATTTGTATTATTCAAATAGTTGTAGACATTTAGAATCTTGTGATTATTCTGATGACGGTGAATAGTGGACATCCGCACGTGGTGGCACTACAGTAGCATATCCAGTTTGTGTTGAAACTGGATATGCTACTGTAGGAATGGAAAAAATGGAATTCTACATGCTCTCGTTGAGTCCTTATTGATGGCGTTGAATAATACTGCTCTTTAGGTACCTTAAAAAGCTCTGTAAGTAACGATCCGTAGAACAATTTGTCATCGTCGCATTCCACAAAGGGTGTTCGTAGTGGGGGCTATCTACCAGATTCAATAGTCTTGTCTAATGACACTTAAAAATTCATTATCCGCAGCACTAATTTTCTTTTTCTTGGTAAGACGATCCTCACTTAATATCGTTTCCGTCAACTGATAGAGCAACAGGCGATTGTGATGTGGATCGGTCTTCAATATTTATTTTTGATAGTTTCTTCAATTTTTTATACGAAGTAGTCTCGGAGTTCCTATCGTTTTTTTTGTCGTGAAATGCCTGCCATAATTGTCTTAATTAAAATAATTTAAGTAACTTATTAATAGAATTTATTTTTTTTTGTTTAAGGTATATAGCTACGGAGTATTATTTTGCAACACATTAAGATAGGACGTTTGAGGTGGGTACTCCATGTAATGCGGATGGAGCAAACTGACCCAGCTAGAAAGACGCTCCTTGATAGACCTATTGGTCAAAGAAGAAGAGAAAGACCAAGAACAAGATTCCTAGATAACATAGACCAAGATATGAGAAATATGGAAATACGTGCTTGGCGGAGGAAGACGATGGATAGAAAAATATTTATGTTAATTCTTTTCATTTCTTGGATAATATTGTGTGCTTTTCCGGATTCGAACATGCTGGTCACATTCCACATTCCAATTTGAAATAGACGTTCTGCTTTTGTATTTTTCTGGTACAGATTTCGCTGGTTGACGTCCTAAAAGCCCTGACTCCTTTCTTGTCGGATCTTGGTCTCCGATACCCATGATCAGTACACGTCTGCTTACTCTGTCTTCTCATTTTATGATGATTCGACTGGGGATATCTTACGATCTTTAATACAGTGGTTTCCTGTTGCCTTCTGCATTTTTATGCCATTGGCTAAGGTCAGCTCATTCTCCTTTAGGGCCAGTTTTCCAAACATACGACAAAGGAGTGCCCTGCCACTTACCAGCTCATCCACCCGAAGCCGTTGGCCAGTAAGTGGAGGGATTGCTTATACCGGCAATCTCTTGGAGAGACAATTATGAGTATCAATATCCTTTGCAATACTAAAAACTCGTTTTTTATCTGAAGAGAAAAAGATAGCTGTGTCGACTATTAAAGTATCACCATCCGCATAAGCTTGTTTAGTAATAAAACTACCCGTTTCAAGCTTTTGCCTTAAAATAGTAATAAATTGTTTTTGAAGTGAAGCTTTTATACTGGTGTTGTATTATTTTTTCTCTACAGTAAAATTCTGATGCGAGCGTCACACAACTAGACAAGAATTGCGGACAAGAATAAAATTAATTACTATATAACTGGGAATAAAATGTCATAAAAATAAAATGGTACATCACACTACACTACACAAGGACAAACACTTTAAAATTTTTGAAAAATAGGCGAAGCTACCTTGTACAGAAGCCGGAGACAGAATGATTCTTTCTTTCTTTCTTTGACTTTCACAGATCTTGTAGATTCTCTTATGAACATTACAGCTTAACCTAATTTCTTAATTTCATAAATTTTTTTTGAAAACGATTTGTTGATTAAAAATCAAAACTTAAAAACAAAAAATGTAAAATGTAATTTTTATCAATGGTTTTGGTATAATCCCATATAAAGACTATATTTAACTAATTAATTAGATTACGGATAACACTTTTATCTTTAAGTGCTTACTGGAAACGGATAGGTATAACCGTCTATACGATCAAATCAGTACACATCTCTACTTTTAAACAAACAACTACGCTGTCAAAAATATATGATGAGATAAACAATAATTTATAAACAACATAATAATAATTCAAGTTTTTTGTTTGTTACGGTTAGTTGCATGTATCTCATATTGAGTTTTAAAATTAATTATTGGTTATTTCTTTTAGTAGCCTTCATGTGTGTAGGTAGAGAGACTGTTTATTTATAATAATGTTATACATTATAGTTTATATTGTATGGGCTTACTTAATATTTAATGTGATCTTCAAAATTTATGTAAAATTTAACACTATGTCGTGTAAAAATAAGGTGTGTCTTGTGGGGAAAACTGTTATAGTCACAGGATCCAACACAGGTAAGATAATTTTTGAAATACTTTTCCAAATTTGATTAATAGTGTAATATTGTTAAAGCGCCAAAAATAATTTTAATATCAACGGTTTGGTCAAATTTCTATTAATTTTATATTCTATATTTTAATGTCAAGCAAATTTCAGGAAATTGTTATTTATCAAAATAAGATGGATTTTTTCCGATATCTATAAATGACATTTAAAATTTCAAGATACGATTGACGTATTGAAGTAGTTTTAAGTCATACTTTAATGAATAAAATATTAATGTTAACAAATAAATGAGTAAAACAATAATTGTGAAGTCAAAAAAGCTATCTCGGATAAAAATGATCTGCTTTGCCTAATATTTTTCTCTGCGACCTTATTAAACAACAATTATCAAACCCCATAAGGGTTGGGAGGGATTATATTTAAATTTTTTATTTACTAATAAATATCTTGAAAATTTAAATTAAAACGAATAAAATGACCCTCTAGAAAGATGGGCCAAAACATCATTTTTGATAATAGCAGCGTTGTCAGTAACTTTTAAACTATGAAGCTCGCGAGCACATAGACAGCGGTCAGAGTTCTGCGTTCTTTTTGTGGAGTCACGAGCGCACACATGCGGTGCTCAATTACCAAATTAACACCGTTCCAGTTTCTTTTCAAGTATGGAACCTGAAACATGTTCTCAAATACAGTACTGTGCAAATTAATAAAATCATAGGCTGCTTTAATGAAAAAACAGTTTATTTAGAAAAACAATTATATTTTGAGAAAACTATAAAGGTAAACTTACATTATTTAGTAGCAAATATGTCCCCCTTTGGCTGTCATTTCTGCCTTTACCAGTTTTGGCATAGACTCTACAACCTGCTGACAGTTCCCAGGTATCCTTTCATCTCGAAACAAACCTGATGACCGCTTCTATCATTTTATTTTTGGAAAACCGTCGATTTTGCGCAGTCTAGCTTTGCAAATGGCTCATAAATTTTTAATGGTGTTGAGGTCTGGTAAATTACCGGCCAATCTAAAACATTATTCTTCTTGTTTTTAAAAAAATTCATCATTTGCTTTGTCTTGTGACAGGGAGCAGAGTCCTGTTGACGAATCGCTTCTCCTTGGGACTGACATTTTTTAAGTTTTGTGTCTAAATGCTGTTCCAAGATGGATTTGTTGGATTTATATTTTTGGTTGTTCATTACGCCTTCGATTGGTATCAACGACCTAACCCTCATGTATAAAAAACATTCCCAAACATTTTTTTGACTTGATGTTTTACGGTTTAATTAATATGATATGGTATAAGATTTCCATTGTCAGACATTATCTGACGAATTTCGACCGCTGTTCATGTACATAAATAGCCCAGGCCAAAAGTGCCCAGTTTTTCTAATAACAAACCACATCTTCATCTGGAACATTTGTTGTGGGCATACGTACCTGAATGACATGTAAATCTTATGGTTTTGCTTCTAATGCAATTTTTATAAATCCTTCGTTTGTTTTTTCATATTGAATGATATTTCGATGTTCTATTGTTCATGTTATTGTTCAAATTGTTCATGGCTACTACATTATATCCTGTGTTTTCAGATTCTGATATGTACACTGCCCGTTATTAAAAAGAAGATATCTAAAATTTTTAGAATTTGTTAATTTTAAAGAGCCTCACAAGAAATTGATCATTATTGTAATGTTTAAGAATATGTTCTACAGCAGTATGCAACTATTTCTTAAATAACACATGTCAAAAAAAATTCTCCCAAAATGATGATTTTAATAGAAAATTTTAAAAATTAACATTTTAATTTTTTCTGTGTTTTTTATAAAAATTACAATAAAGTAATTTTTAATATTTTGTATTACCAATTTTATTTTGAATTACACTCCTCATTCCACTTGGTATTAAATTGATCAAATTCTGAATGTTGTCTTTGAGGAAAAGCTTCCCATTCTTTCATGAGCGCCAATCGAAGCTGCTAACAATTTATTGGAGGAGTTATTCTGTTTCTTACTCTTCGTTTGAGCTGATCTCAAACATTCTCAGTCGGTTTTAAATCTGGGCTTTGAGCTGACAAAATTCATTTTTGGTACATGACGGTTTCCAGATATTGCCTTACCATATTGGCTACGTGTGACCGAGCGTTGTCTTGAATGAAAATAAAGTTTTCGCCCACAAACCCAACAAAAGGCATTGCATGCTCGTCTAGAATTTCGGTAATGTATCGATGAGCATTCACACTCATGATAAAGAAGAATCCTGGACTCATCACTAAATAAAACCTTTTTCCAATCTGCTATTGTCCAATGCTGGTGGTCTCTAGCAAGCTCGGCGTTGTCGATGTGCTGCTGTTAACAAAGATCTTGTTGCTGAGCAGCAAGCCCTTAGACCAAATTCTCTTAACTTTCTTCTCACTGTAGAATTTCTAAATGTCCACCTGTGAGCATTTTCAAAATAGTTTTGGATTACTCTAGCCGCAAAGAACCGATTTGGCAAGGAAGTGTGTTGTCAAGAACGATGTTCTCTGACCGTCGTGATCCTCCTCGCGCCTGATCCTGGTCGTCTTTCATAAGATCCAGTCTCTACGAATCATTTGTATATATTTTGGACCATACAACGGCAGAATCCAAGCTGTCTGGTCACTTCTCTTTGACTCGTTCCATTATCAATCAAAGTAACAATTTGAACAGATCTAGTAAATATCTCAGCTATAGATTTAAATTTAAAAATTGCACAAGTTCACTCTTTAAACAACTGTACAATAATAAAAGATTTTTGAAAAACAGTTTATATTTTGCATTATTAGCTCTTTATTTGCTATGTAAAGTTTTCCAGTTTGGAGAAGACCTCTGACGTTTTATGTCCCTATTTTCTTGAAGATTCTGTGTTTGGCTTTCTCTTCCAGTCACCCATTTACCACGAGTGGCCTGGTTCCTCACACACTCGTGCCCGATAACCCATTGCACACTATCTGACCTGGAATCAGGACAGCGTCAGTCGCTACCCGGATCGCATGGCATCTCTACTTTTTGTGTTACGCTATTCATTCATTTGAAGTGTACTCTCAGGAAGACAATCAGATAATTTGCACGTGTCTGTCTAATTGCAGTATTACAACCAGTTAAATAATTATGTAATATCTGCATGTTATTGTTATTAAGCCAACAACATAAATCGTTCCACTTTAGCCTTAATTCAGTAATGACATAGCTGCTGCCCTATGCCATACCCTCAGTTGGTTTACGAGTGCTTATTTGGTAAGATCTTATTAACACTTTTCCTCCATATCTCCAGGACATTTCTTTGTCAGCCAGTGGGACGCGCCGTGTCCGGATTGAGGACTTCCCCGCCCGTCCGTCTCCCGCGAAGTACAGAAGAGCCAATACTTAATTCAGAACTCTTCCTCCATGCAAGGTGGAACGAACACAAGCCAACTCTAATCTCTAATAAATTAACTCGAACTCTGCAGTACGACCCAATAAGAAAATTTGAATACTATTTTGCTGAAAATACTATAATAAAAAATTACACATATGGGAGTAGTTATATTTGTATTATATGTATGTTTTGACTTACCCTGTAGTATATTTAAAAAGTATTAGCATTTTGACAATGATCTAAAAAATATGGTTACAACAGATCGTTTTTTGTGCCCCTTTTCAATTATACAGGGTGCAGAACTTAACGGGGTTAAAGGGTTAGAGGGTTACAATTATACAGGGTGTTAGGATTTTCATTAAAATGTATTAATAACTGTTATAATCCAAAAACTTTATATTCTTGTAATTAAAAAGCAAAGAGCATTTTAAATTTAAAATAAGATACTATTTTTGTGACTAATCATTTTTGGTATCTTCTATAATAACAGATATGACTTCTTCAGAAAAGTTGACCACCCTGTATATAATATTTAAGAATAAGAGTCATTTAAAATGTTTTTTCTTCGTTTAATTTGACTGTGGTCTTATTCCATTAGCCGAAATAAATTTAAAATTAAATCGTTCCAAGTAACAATAAATGATATTTTTTTAGATATTATTAAGTGGGTATGTTATCAAATTAAGTTTATTGACATTGATTTGGTACATTAGTGATAACTAATCTAATTTATGGTATTCAAAAAATAATGAATCTCATTTTAACTCTTAAGTATTATTGATCAAATCATAAATTCCAATTTAGTACTTTATATAAATTTTCAGATTTTTATTTGATTTACTAAGCTTCCCGGAAGTGCTAAACAATAGAAACACCAAAAAAGGTTTAAAACTGATAGAGATTACAATGAAAGAGTTCAGAGCAGCAACAAGAGCAGTTAGACGCGTTATCAGCCTTCAGATGAGGAAGATATAAATTATATGAATCGAAAATTATTTGAGGAATATGTCAAATGGGTCTTACTGTAAACATAAGCAAAACAAAATATTTAAAAATTGGAGGAAATACCACAGATCTGAGCCTTGACAACGCAGTCATAAAAGGTTGCAACCAGTATAAGATCTTAACATAAGGAAAACCAAAATACTCGTAATAAGTAAACAACAGAATATAAAACCGTCTATATATGTAAATAATATCAAACTTGAGCAAGTTGATAAAATCGTCTACCTTGGACAGCAATTAAATTGTAATGCAGAAAATCACGACGAAATTAGATCCAGAATAGAGCTGGCTAGAGCTGCTTTTAGAAGGATGTCCAAGGTGTTATGTAACAGAGACCTAAAATTGGCATTAAGGATCCGCCTACTTCGCTGCTACGTGTTCTCGGTCTTACTTTATGCTGTCGAGTCCTGGACTGTGAATAAAATCGATCTAAATCGCCTTGAGGCTTTCGAAATGTGGTGCTATAGAAGAATTTTAAAAGTTTCCTGGGTGGAGAAGATTCGTAACTTCACAATACTAGAACGTCTCAGCAAGACTACTGAGGTCATAAAAAGCATCAAGCAGAGAAAGCTGGAATATTTCGGACATGTAATGAGAGGTCCCAAATATAGATTGCTACAAAACATCATG